TATGGTCTGATTCCTCCCATCTGCAATACCATTGTCTCTTTGTGTTAAGAAATATATATACCAACTAAATGGCATCCAAAGCCGACAAAAATTTTAATAAAATAAAATTAGCAAAGAAAAATTCGAAAGTATTAAAAACCAGATTAGCGAATGATAATAAATACTAAAACACATAGTAAATATTGTTAATGTTTGCTTTTTGAACAATTTAACAAAAAAATGTGAAGAAATAAATAATAATAATTTACGCTATAAATAAAAAAAATTTTAATAAAATAAAAATTACTGTTTCGTTAAAAAAAATGGTAAACAGAAAAAGATTGATGATCATTAAAAAATATAATGGTTACTAAAAATTATGCACAATAATTGGTATTTGAATGAAAAATAGCATAAAAATAATGAAATATGAACAATCATTTATTTTTATTTTGTATTTATTAATAGTTTATTAAATATGAAACAAGAAAAATCGTTGGCTTCAGTTGCACCGAAGCTATTATACCCTTTACAAATACAAAATATTCCCTACAAGAACTTCATTTTGATTTTTCTGTTTGTGGGGCAGCTATATGCTATAATGATCCGATTTGAACAACATCTTCGGAGATTGCATTTTTGCCTTAGATAATAACCCATGGCGAATTTATTGAAGATATCTCGTCAAATTACAAAATTTTTTATGCAAGCACGTGATTCCTATGTTCATATGGCAACTATATGCTATAGTGGTTCGATATCGGTGGTTTCGACAAATGAGCAGCTTCTTACGGACAAAAGGACATGTGCTATATTTCAGATCCATATTTCAAAACCAGGAAACCTAGTTCGCGTATATACAGACAGACGGACAAAATTGACTCAGCTGGTTACGCTGATTTTTTATATACATATGTACTTTACAGGGACTCTAATGTTTCCTTTTGGACTCTAATGTTTCCAGTGGAATCCCACTGTACGTACATATGCATGTGTAACGGACCTCCACACGCAACGTGAATATAATTGATTGCAACACACACAGATGTAAGCCACGCAATGCGAAAAATCGCACGTGTAGGACTTGGTAAACTACTTGATTTTATTATGCACGGAAAAAAAATTAGCAAACATTTTTCTTTCATGAAAATAGCTCATAAAAACGCGCCACATTATTACGTTGCAGAAAGTGTGGTTTTCCGACTAAGTTGCAATGCCTCAATTTCATGACGCGCCAACTCCTGCTCATTTCCGCAGTTGTTTGGCTCATGCACAGGTCGCCGCTGTCTATTTTATGCCTTTTTATATTTTCTTTTCTTTTTTCGCGAATTCTTGCCATCGATTACACTTTTTCATTGTTGTTTGTCGACCTTTATTGCCACCTCTGTCATTGTGAAATTTCGCTAATTTTTAGTTTTCAGTTTTTTTACTGTCGTTTTTTTATATCTTAGTGTGTTTCCACTTTTCTCAACATGTTATGTAGCCATCGATTTTTATTTTTACCCGCCCACACACACTAATACGCGTGTGTATTCGTGAAAATATAACACAGTAATATGTACTCGTATAAGTATTCCCGCTGTAATTCAGTGCCAAGTGGCAAACAGGTACATTCTGTCATTGGTAGCATTTGAAAGTGCACAACGCACACAACTCATGCATACACCTACACATACGCTTTCATTATCATATACTCATTTATACTCTTAACTTATACATAGTTCTTATGTATGCTTATCAATTAGCCTATTCTTCATGATATAACTTCGATGTTTTGTGGGCGTGTATCGTGCTCTGGGCGGTTTGCTTTAAATTTTTAAAACACCGTTAGTTATTCTTGTCAAATGCAGGATAATTTTCAGTAAATTGTGGTAATAAAAGAGCATGCTGTTCAATATTCCTACCTCAAATAATCTTTATGATAAGATTACAAGATAATATTATTTAAAGTTGCAAATAATTTTGTGACGATAGTTACCACCCGTGGAAAGTTTGAAGTCCATACAATTGTTGATATAATAATAAGGATATCAAGCGGAAGAAGTTTAAGCTAAACTCAAGGTTGAAAGTAATATTTTCAGAAAGGTTGCCACCGTTTTGATTAAAAAAATTTTTTTTCGTGTTAAAAATTACTAAGTTAAATGGAATGTAGAAATATAGGCCACAAACTAGTTCTTAGTTTAGACTAACTTTAAGGTGAGATGCCACCTATTTGACATTTGCAATTGAAATTAATTGTAGCAGTAATAACCTTCTTCAAAAAATAAACAGTTGCTTAATTATTTATTGAAATTACATGAGTTTTATATTATAAACTGCAAAAGAAATTTCTGCGTGAGATATTTGCGAGAAAAAAAAAGCGAATTCAATCCTGCAATATTGATTTCAAGGGGAAAATAATTACAAAAGCAATGCCAGAATTTAATGCTCGATATAACAACAAATAATACAACCTATACCTTAAAACATTAAGTTATGTTAGCCGGTTAAGGTAATGAGCTACGTACAGACCAGTTTGGTATTTAGAGCATTAGTCCTAAAAACTTAAAATTATATTAATATTAGACTCTAATACATTTTTTTATTTATTATGAAATATATTAGATATATTAGAGCAGTAGTTTATGCCGTCAGATTAATGGATATCACTACCTAAGAGTCTACTCCAAATGCATGATGAATTTCATAAGCAATTTGCCCATGTGATAAACGTGCTTGTTTTGTTCCAGGTGATAACCGCATTGTTATCTTTCGACGGTCTGGTATCGAATTTATTGCTCAATACATGCGCTGTACGCCTAAGCGTAGGCCATGTTTTTCTTGCAATATAGGTTGCCTGCATTAGGTTCGTGTTATTATAACACATAAACAGAGAGTATACTATACTCAGAAGTAGTTCAAAAGTAAACATCAAACAAATTAGTTTGTGCAAAATTAGATTCAAAAAAGTCTTTCTCTAAATATCTAAAATAAGTTGAAAATAATACAAATTAAAGAAAAATTCAATAATTAAATGCAAAGTTTCTCCAAATACGACATTGTCCAAAAATTATATAATCCAATCTCATCTATGTAAGTCATTGATAGCAGTCAACTGGTGTACATGGCGTATGATGAACATTTTATGAATTTAATTCCAGTCGATTAAAAATAATAATAATAACCCAACGATTACCCTCCTCCCGCCCACCCGACGCGAGGGGCGCAATCCGCATACGTGCGGAATTAGCCGAGTCAGAAAAGGCAAGAGAGTTTTTAAGTGTTGAGATCTGAAACTGCTCAGCTACAGAAACAAAAATTTCAACAGTTAAGATTTATAGTTACAATATAATAAATTGTTACATTTTCATTCATTAAGAGAAAACAATAAAGTCTTTTTAATTTTGAAAAGTGAGTCAGATAAGTCAAATGTGCTGGAATGAGAATTAAAATCATGACATATACGGCGGAATGGCTCGTTTAGTTCAAAATTTGATCTACAGGATTTTAACAGTTAAGGTCTAAACTGCCCCGAAAAGCGAATCGGGATATTAAATTTAATTTCAGACAGGAGAAAAGAACTGCAAACTGTTCCATTCAAGATTTTCACTAAGAATATTATGCCAAGCATTTACCTACGACTAGAAAGTGTAGGTAGATTTATAAGTTTTAAACGACTAGTGTATGGAGGTAGACTTACCCTAGCATCCCATCGGAAATGCGCTAAGGCGAAAAGTAAAAATTGTTTTTGAACCGACTCTAACTTGTCAGAATGGATTTGGTAGCTAGGGTTCCATACCACAGAGCCATATTCCAATATAGGTCTAACCAAAGTTGTATAAAGTGTTTTAGTAATATACGGATCTCTAAATTCTTTAGACCAATGTTTAACAAAACTGAGGACAGCTTTTGCTTTCAAGACCATGGTATCAATATGAAGACTTAAATTAAGCTTAGGGTCCATATTAACTCCCAAATCAACATAGTTAAAAACGTGCTCCAGAATATGGTGTTTTATTACATAAGAAGAGGAGTGCACAGATCTACGGGAAAAGCACATCGTCTTACATTTATTGAGATTCAATGGCAAATCATTTCTATCACACCATGCAACCATATTGTTTAAGTCTGTTTGCAACAGACACCTTTCCTCAGTTGAAGTGTATGATTTAAAAAGCTTTACATCGTCAGCGTATAATAAAATTTTTGAGAATTCTATTACTAAAGAGATATCGTTAATAAACAACAAGAACAGAATCGGGCCAAGATGACTTCCTTGCGGAACACCTGAAGAAACATTAATTGTATCTGCAGGTGTATCCTCAAATATCACTCGTCGTGTTCTATTATAAAGATAGAAAGCTACCCATTGAAGAAATCTTGGCTGAAAGCCCAGCAGATCAAGTTTATGTATGAGAATCAAGAGATTTACTTTATCGAAAGCTTTGCTAAAGTCTGTGTACATAACATCCGTATGCTTATGTTCCCTAAATCCCAATGATACATGGTTTACAAATTTAAGCAAGTTTGTTAGAGTCGACTTCCCTTTACGAAATCCATGCTGAGATGAGGAAATTAACGGAGAGATCGAAAAGATTATATGGTCAGTGATGATAGCTTTAAAAAGTTTATTATTAATTATATTATTAGGTATACCTCTATAGTTTTCAATGTTGGATCTAATTCCACTTTTATGCAAAGGGATTATAAATGACTGTTTCCATATTGAAGGAAATATACCGTGTTTAAGAGAGGGATTAAATATCCTTATCAAAGGCAAGTAAATATATTTGGCACTGTTTTTAGGAAGCATGAGGGTATCATGTCTGGGGCGTAACTAAAAGATGGTTTTAACTTATTTAAATTAAGTAGGACGTCTTCTTCAGAAATAATTGGAGTGTTAATTAAAGTATTCGAACACACATTTATGATAGTAAATTACTTTTTTTCCGAATTCATAAAATAATTCCTTATTACCATTAAATTTTATTTGAGTTATTCTAAGTATTCTAAGTAATTTAATATTGTATAATTCTACTCACCATATAAAATCCTTACAGTGCGAACAGAATGTTGGCTGCTTGAAGAAACGCGGTATAAAGCAATGATCTTTAACGGCGAAAATATTTTTCTTCTTTAGCGCGCCTTTACGTAGGCGTGATTTCATCTTATTCTCACTACCGCCAGCCTCATCCTGCAGCGGCTGATCGCCGTTGTTGTCTTGCGTTTCAGACATCTTGCTTGAGTATTTGGTATTTCCTTGTCGATATTTACTAACAGTACACTATCTATTTGCTTATTTTTAATGTTGGGTTAAGGGTGTACTAATTGTTGCGCTTCAAATCTATAGTATGCTTTACATTTATACACTTTGAATATGTGTGTGAGATAAAATTTGAATTTGAATTTGTGGATATCCTGTTTATTTTTAGTTATTATATTTTATTGTTTTTGAATGTTTTTGAAAACATGTAGATTTTTCATAGAACTATTCAATAAATTTTTTCATCTATTTTTTTTATGACTATTTTTGAGTGATAAATATGTTAATTTTTTTGTTTTGTTTAAAATTAACTAAATAAATTTCCACGCATAATATGTTTGCTACTTTTTTACAATACCTATTCTTTTTATTATTTTTTTAGGATTTTTTTTCTAAGTTTTTAATTGAAATATATTTAGTTTCACGTCCTAATGTATCATTAACTTCAATTAATTTGCATTTGGTCACTTTTTTCCATAAATTTATTTATATGTTGCTATGGTTGATCTTTATAATTATTTGCTATGTTATAATTTTTAAATAACTGCGGTTTTTCAATCTAAAATGCAAATGTAGCACACAGCTGAACTTATTCAGTCGATTTTTCAGACAGTTAAGTTTTTACGCTGAATTTTCTATACCGTCCTCTCACATTTTTTGCTAAAAGTTGAAGGTTTTTTTCTGCAGTTTACACCTTTATTAACTTAACAATTTCACTACATTTATTACACATATTTTTTACTTATATCTTGGACACATGCTGTTATTTATTGGATAAGATTTTTAGAAAATTTAAACATTTTTTTTTTAAATTTTTTTCACTTTTACTTTCCATGAAATTTTTCCACAATTCATGTTTTTGATAAAATTATGCTCATCTTTGAAATTTACTAAGATTCCACATACCATATATGCAAATAGTTTGTATTTATGTGTGAGTACAATTATTTTGAATGTTTGTATTAGTTTGGTTGTATTTTTAGAAATGACGATGATATTGCACACCTGTAAGGTTGGAATTTTTTTGCAAGTTTTTTAATTGTTGTTGTTATACCATCAATTGGCAATTAAGAATTTTTCTGTTTTTCCATAACTTGTCAGCTGTTGGCGCTTTCAATCTTTTTTCCTGAAATCAAAGCAGAATTATGTAAGTCATTTAAGCAGTAGACTCGTTCAAAAAAAAACTACATATCCGAAAGAAATATATATATAAAGAAATATATGCTTGAATTCCTATATAAATAGTTTTTTTAAATTGAAGCAATCATATCAAAAAAAAGTTTTTTCTTAAAATTGGAAACATATTTTATTTTTGTTCATGTTATAGTATGTTATATCTCCATTCTTCATATATATGCAAATACCGCGGCTTAAAATATTGTAGTAATCGAATATCAACAAGTTACGTATACGCACCGGCTGCCTGCTCGCTGCTTTCTCTCCACTCTGTTGCTCGCATGCAAATAGTACTCTAGGGACATGAGTGCTTTCACAAATATGAACGACAGTTGAGTGACATAAGCACGCAGTGTTTGCAAAGCTACAACAACTACAATAAAAAGGTCATGTAATAAAAAAAAGACAATAAAAAAATTATCGGTATGATTATAACGGTATAACACCTGGACGACACTAACTCAGTTGTGTAGGCGGTGCCATAGCTATCGATATTGTTTACCATTTTGTGAATGAGACTTGCAAAAGTTTGCGTGGGCAGCGTGGAGCGCCTTTGCTAGAAGGTGAGTGTGAGTGTGTATGAATGTGTCAGTGTTGATTGGTTGATTTTTGCGACGTGATTACTCTAGCCGCTGACGTGCCTTTTTTATAGTAAATCGTGGCTTTGTTGTTTCTACTTTTAATATTTTTATGAAATTCATTTGTTTTCATTTGCTTTGGCTTCATGAGAAAGGGAAAGAGGAAGACTATCTGGAAGATAGGGAAAAATACGCACTGCGATAAAACAGTTGCGATGGCATTTACAATTTAAAGGTTAATCTCTGCATTTTATAATATTTTTATATGATATACAATATATTATTTTTTAATTATATGATAACAGATGTGTAAGGCAGTATAAAAAATTAAGAGCTTTCTATAGATTACTATTTTAAAAATAAATTATTCAATTCAATATCAATATTTTTTTTAAATTTAAATTTGTGGAATATAAAATTAAAAAATTACTAGTATTTTTTTATAATTTTATACATAAAGATGTTTGCCATATCCACTTGCTGCATTCTTCAGTGACTACTTTGGCGGTTAGCCAAATTTCAACGACTCAGTTTTTAAGATATCATTATGAAATTTTGCACACCTCCGTTTCTCCCAAAGAAGCTGCTCATTTGTCGGAGCCGCCGATATCGGACCACTGAAAAATATAGCTGCCATACAAACTGACCCATCCAACTCAAGTCCTTGTGAACAAGGCTTTTTTATTTTACAATATATCTTCACACAGTTTAAGATGGTATATCCTCCTAGGCATCGCTAAAATCTCCAAGGAAATTGTTTAAATCGCACCAATCAAAATAAAAATAAAGATATTTTTGTACCTTTCTATGCTGTAAGAAATATTCCTGGGACGGGTTTTATAGCTTCAGTGCAACCGAAGTTAAAATTTTTTTCCTTAATTTAACTGATCGTAAAAAAAAAGTTTTTGGTTATAAACCCCTAAATATAAAAGGAAAATACAAAATTTACAACGAAGTTTATAACAATTTCAACTTTCTTCAAGTCTTTGAATTTTTTTTTATTGAAAAACGATGTGATTTTTAAAAACTTATTAAAAAAAAATCCGAGGTTAAATGTCTATAAAAATATTTTTTTTTTATATCGTTTTATTTCATTTTATTTTAATTTATTTTGTGTTACTTAGTTTTATTTTGTAGTCCTTTAAACTAATTTTTTTATATCATTTTGCACTATTCCACTCACCTTCTCTCCAATTTTTCAAAAGACTATTTTTTGGTCATGACGTCTTAATTTCTACAGCAGTTTCTTTATTGGAAAGGATTTATTAATGCAATTTGTAATTTTCGTTTATACCAACTATAATCAACGTCTAGCCACAAGTCACAACAATTTCCAGTGCTCAAAATTACCACACATTGTGTTAAGTTTACACAAAATGCCGGCGGTGGACAAATAAACCACACACTCTCAGCACTCGAAAAAAAAAAAATAAATAAAAAAATTGGCGCACTATTTGCAACACATATTCAGGGTTGCAGAAACTGGTTTGTAGCAAAAAAACAGCAAAGAAACAAACATCACAGAATTTTACAACAACATGTGGCGTACGCTCCACAATCGGCCAGTCCGTCAGTCATACGCACAGTTGGGCGCAGCGCGCACAGGCAGTTGGCGAACAGCGTGAAAAGAATGCTACACAATTAAATCTGCCAGCAAAGTTTTCACTTACAGACGCTTACTTACACAATTGTTTGCTTTTGATGATTAATTTATTTATATTTTAAGTACTGCAATTTATTTGTTTACTAAAGGAAATTTCTTTAATTTTTCATTTTTCTGCGCCAGTTATCCAATCGCTTTTGGATATGGATTTGCTTGTGATTTTATTGAATTTCTTCTTTTTGTCTTTGTATTTCCTCTCTAATATCCGATTGACACCCGCGTTCAGATCAGCACACGTCCGCAACGCTCAACAACCCGAAACTTTGTGAAAATTGGCGAAACAGTCGCGGCTGGGGAGAGTCCAGCGCTGGCGGCGAGAGATACGCTGCCTATGCCTAATTGCTTGCTGGCTGGTGTATGTGTGTGTTTTAGTGTGCGCGTGGTGAATTTCTCAGTTGAGCAACTAGTGTGCTGTTGTTTGCTCTTGCCACACTTGGCTGTTTTTGGCAGTTTCGATTTTTTTTGGAGAAAAATAAAAATAACAAAGCGAAATATGTGCAACAAAAATCTCTTAAGTGTGGTGTAGAAGCACTGTCACACCCACCAAACAGTTGTAACCGTATTTCATTCTCTCTCACTTTGAGTCGTGTCGCTGTAGCTCTTGCAACACATGTTGCATGCATAATGTTAAAAGCTTTTTCTGCTAATTTTCTCTTAATAAATTTTCATTAGAAATTCCTTTTGTATTTGCTGGTAAGTATTAACTTACCATAAAATATGTGGTTCAAAATCATACATCTCAAAAATAATTGGCTTTAACTTGAATTTTCGGTTTGGATCAATTAAATTTTCAGGCGAAATTCTGCCTTCTTGACAGCCTAACGTCGGGTGTATTTAACAGTTGTCATAATCCGTTTAGTTAACGTCTGAAATCCGTTTTTTCGGAAATTATATTCTTGCCTTAGAAAATAACTTTTCGTCAAGATACCTCGTCAAATGAAAGAGTTTTCCATACAAGCACTTGATTTCGATCGTTCAGTTTGTATGGCAGCTATATGCTATAGTAATCCGATCTATACAATTTCTTCGGAGATTTCATTGTTGCTTTAAATAATAATCCATGCAAAATTTCGGTAAGATACCTCGTCAAATGAAAGAGTCTTCATTACAAGGACCTTACTCCGATTGTTCAGTTAATATGGCAGCTATATGTTATATTTATCCGATCTGTTCAAGGTTTTCGGAGATTACGTTGTTGCTTCAAACAATAACTCATGCCTAATTTCGCGAAGATACTTCGTCAAATGACAGAGTTTTCCATACAAGCACTTGATTCCGATCGTTCATTTTGTATGGCAGCTATATGCTATAGTGGTCCGATATCGGCCGTTCCGACAAATAAGCTGCTTCTTGGAGAGAAAAAGAACATTTGCAAATTGCAGATCGATAGCTTAAAAACTGAGGGACTAGTTTGTATATATATACAGACAGACGGACAGATAGACAGACGGACGGACAGACGGACATGGCTAAATCATTGATAATAAATTGATAATTGAGTAAATTTAGACAAATTTAGCCGAACTTTTATCGACTGTCTAAATTAAAGCTTAACCCAAACTCTAACCTAACATCACAATTTTGTATTATTTAAAATGAAATAAATATTAGTCAAATTAAAAAAAGTTAACAAATTGAAGGCTTCTGCAGTTTTCAAAGAAAATATAATTTTTGTTTAGTAACAAAAATTTTAAAATTTTATAAGCATCACTTTTTTTTTAAAGTAACTTGAAAATAAAAGTTGGTTTAAAAAAATGTATATTATAATTCGTTTAAATGATCTGCTTTTAAAAAAAAAGATGAATTGAATAACTTTTTTTTCATAGACTACATATACTACATTAATATAAACAAACCTTTTATAAAAAATGTTGTTATAAACATATTCTAAAATAAATACTATGATAGCCCTTTTTTAAAAAAATTAGTTTTTAACGTTTTTTAGGTGAAAAGAAATTTGGAATAAAAAATTCAAAATTTTTAAAATTCTTATTTTTTAAAATAATAAATTTTGAAAAACTTTCCCTTTCGAGTTTCAAATATAAGTAATGTCGAATGCAAGCTAAGCACCTCTACCGTTGAATACTAATTCACCACACTCTCAGTTTACAGGTGCTCACTATCTAGGGGTTGAACGCTCCACAACCCCGGCTAAATATGTGTTGTAATAAAGTTTCTACCTTTTACAAAGAGTTTTAACGGTTCACTTACGTACATCTCTCTCTCTCTCTCTCTTTCTCTCTCGCTATGTTAATAAAGCATTCGTGCTAAGCTCACCACAGCGCCTTATGGGGGACACATTAATAACCTATTAATGCGAATAAATGGGCAAGCGGGGTGTACACATATTAACTCTATGCATGTATGTGTATTGGTATTCATTATTGCTGTTATGCCCCATCATGTATGTATGTGTCATACTAATACTAACGTTGCAAGTGCTTCTGCACTCTTTGCACTGTTAAGTCCTAAGTCAATGGCCTTCTTCTGTACTATTATAGTGCTGTTGCCGCTATTCTTACGTTTCTCCTCCTACTGAGATTTTTCCGCTACTTTGGCGCGCGTTTGCATTTCCAGCATTGTGTGTGTGATTATAAACCCATGCAAGCAGTGTATAATTGAGTAAGTAACATTGTTTGCTCGTGTATGTACAGTTGTTTTTCTTTGTTTATATGTTTTTTGTATATATGTATGTGTGTTGTAGAGTATTCGACAGCTGTTGGCCAGGAATTATACATTTACATGAAGGGACAGTAGTAAGCAGACCAGAAGACCAACATTGCTTTGGATAGTTGTGGAAAGAGGGAGCTTTATGCAACAAGCGGAATGCAAGCACACATGCATATATACATGTATCTTTGTATGCATGAACTTATTCCCCTCTAAGAAAATGCGTTTTAAGATCACTGAAATGTTGCTGCCACAATTTATTTATTTTTTATTTTCTTGGAAAGCGTTATTAGCAGTCTATCCCTTTTCTGTTGCTTTTCTGCTCGCCTCGAACCCGCTGTGTTTGCTTACATGTCTTTCTTGTTTGCTCTATTTCGATTGGTTGCCTTGTTAATGTTTAGCGACTACTTGAGGTTCTTTTGGCTTATTTCCTGCAGCATCATTCATTCAAGTCGTTGTTTATCATGTCAAGGCTTTGAGTGCTAGTTGGTGCTTGGCAGTTTGAAGGCTGCTAGTTGGATAAATACCAAAAGGTATATACATACAACCATCTAGTTAAAGGCAAACTAATGCCTTCCTTTTGAATAAAAGAAATGAGCTAAACGCAGGATTTTTAGATGATAATTTTTAATATTTCTTTGATATTGAAGCATTCAGAGCAGAAATTTCGAATCAAAATAATTTTTTCACTGATTAATATCGATAACTCTCACTAATGACCAATTAGTTATGAACGAGGACTGATAAGTGAATGTATTTAAGACTAGTAGGTGATCATTTCTCGTTGCTTTATGAAGAGGTATGATACTTTTGAGGTCAAACACTCCCTAAACTCACTTTTTCCATTTACAAATAGCGTCTGCACGATATTATTTATTCTTTTGACATCATTGAAATATAAACCTCTTCTGGAGCATATAGGAATTCTCCTTTATTTACTTTGATCAAGCACTCACACATAGAGTGCATTTTATATATGAGCCCATGTATGCAACAACATTCAATTAAGAACAGTCAAAACATAATGCTAATAACGCATTGCACTTTGCAGAGCCACTAAACTGCTGACCAATGCTCAGTAGGTTCTTATGCTTTTGGTCTACCAGCCAGCAACTTATGAAATATTTCACAATATTTCAAAGCGATGGGACGTACACACACTTACGCACATACGCACCACATATTGCGAATCTCTTAATGAACAGCTGGCAGTCCCACGACTGTCAGCGTGCTGTTTTGCAGTAAACGATTGCCAAATGGTCGCGTCACATAAGCCTAATTATCCACAATATGTGCCATCTCTTAACCAGTTAGACAACTTTACTAATATCAGTAAAGCGTATACGCTTGACCGGCCATTTTCATGTCTTTCATATAGTGACTTGTAAACGGCGGCTAGTCGACTTTGACGCAGTCAGCTGTGTCGTTTAGAATTAAACATTTTTACGATGAATTTGATTTTTTTTACAATAATTAAAAAATAATAATTTGATGTTGCTAAACACGGTTGCATCACAGAGATGAGCTTTTGTAATAACTGACTTTTTTTATTGTACTGAAAAAACTGTTAATAATGTCAAACTTCTCACATTTTTTATTTATTGCATTTTTTTTATTTAAACAGCGGATGATTTGTACAAAGTCCTCAGTTGCATTATAAAACATTTAAAATTTGTTGGCAATCTCACTTTTTCGATAACAAACGCGTGCGTCAACCTATCACGGTGTTTTCCTTAGCCTAATGCACTTTATACTTTTACAATATATTGATACAGAGTACAATAGTTTTGTCCCCCTAACGGTTGTTTGTCAAGATCGAAATGATCAGGATGACGAGACGAGTTGAATTCCGAGTGACTGTCTGTCTGTGCGTCTGTCCATGTAAGTGAAGATTTAAATAAAAATTAAGATATTGTGATGAAACTTGGTACAAATAATGGTTAAATCCTATATCATAGGCACTACTTAACCAATTTTGGTGCGTCAGGTAACGAAAATATTCCTATTAAATACTGTAAAAATGGGTAAATTACCAACCACCACAATTTTCCATACAACACACTTTTGAATTCCATCTGATTCTTTCACTTTCCAGTATACAAATCAAACATCAATGAAGTTATCCGAATAAAACTTTGCACAAATAGTGCCCTCAGGAAAATTCATGTTAAATTCAAACATTTTCGAAATCACTTCCTTTAGCTTCCATATACCCAACATAAACATTTTCGAACTTTCGGTTCACTTTATACCGAATCTATCGGTCAATATGTAAGAAATCTTAGTGTATCCCCTTGCATTAAATTGATAAAATCACGGCGATACTGTCCCTAGTTTAATATAAAGTCTTACCAACACCTGAAGTTATTTTCCAACAACCTCTTCTTAAATTATAAAGTACACATCACTGTTTTACTTATTTATTTTTTTCAAATCGTTAAATTTAAATACATCTTAACTTTTCGGGTATTTTTATTTGTTAAATAAATTTACTGCTTGATATTTTTTGTTTTAATTTATTATTATTTTTTGTTGTTTTAACACTATCAGATTGCATAAATTCGTTTTGTTGTTGTTTATG